TTTACATCCTTTACATCCTTACACTTCCCTGTTGTCTGCTCTGATAAATCAGTTCTTTTCATCTGCTTTTTATGGATAAAGTGGATAAAGTGTAGGGTCATTATCGTAATTTGGCAGCAACCTGATCCTTGACTCTTCAAGCAGTAAAATGTTAGGAGAATTTTAGGAGCACCTTCTAATCAGTAATCAAAAAATTCTGATAAAAAAAAATTAACCTTCCCATTACGAGGTGATATTTGACTCCTTAAAGTGATTTACAGTGGAATTTAGTTTTTTACCTTTGTAATGGCATTTTTCTAACTTTATTAAAAGTATGTCATCTTTTTCAAATTCAAAAAATATATATTTATAAGCTTTTTAACATTTCTAATTAAAACAACAGAATAAAAACAAGTAGAATAAGAATAAGTTACCAATCAAATGAAATCAGTATTTAAGAAATAAATTTGTACTGAGGTGGCACAGAAGAACACGCAAGTGTCTTGTAGGTGTATTTTCAGACGTTTAATGAGGCTCAGAGGTCGCATGAGTGCAATTAAATTCATAAATTCATGTTGAGGTTAATGTTTTAAATATAACATTTTGAATATAGAAATATTAAATGATTTAAATAACAGAAAAGATACTTTAAAAATTAAACTAAAACTGCCAGCAGGTGGCGACAAGTCACTGATTTTATCACTGAATCATTCATTCAATTGATTCGTCCGAACGGCTGATTCATTCAGGAACTAAGTACGTGCCTGTCTTTATGAATGGGTAATTGAATCATTGACTCACTCGATTCGTTTAAAAACGCAGTTCATTCATAAACGAAACACCGCTGTGTTTGAATGTAGATGCGCAGCGGCTCAGCTGTTACTTTGTTTGAAACTATTTTCGTTGACGAAATAGAGCAAAATAAGGCAGTTGTGTTGTTGTCAGACAACATAAGTGACTTAATATTAACTTCTTGTTTAATGAACTGTTGTATCGCGATCTCACAAAACTCCATTATAAGCGACGAAGCTCCCTACACTGCACAATGAATCTCTTATTTACACTCTGTCAACACTTTGTTTGTTATAATGAGAGGATACGTCGGTGATGCATTACTCAATGCTGCAGAAACACGTAAGTATGTTAGAACCTTTGAAGCTCCCTCAGCGCAAACACAAATATGCTGATCGGGTCAGTCGCACTGGTGCTCCTAAATATTATTTCATAGTCGCACGCAGTAGTTTTCAGTCGCAATTGCGACTGAAATGGTCGCACTTTAGAGCCCTGTATTAACCTCAAACCCACTGTAGTTGTCTGATCTTGTCAGTGTTTCCACAAAAGATTGTTAACTCATTCTCAGCTGGTTCATGTGCTTGTTTATGTTCCTGTTGTTGACCTCCTCATGTTTCTCCGTTGTCTGCTGATCAGCCATTGTTATGTTTTATTTTATCTCATTCAACAGTGTTTGCCATCTGCAATACAATCCCAAGTTAAGTTACTTGGTTTCATTAATCTGTTTGCATCTGATACTCACCTGTTGTTGTCTGTTTTCCTATCATCAGTAAATCCTGAGATTGAATTCATTGTACACCCTTGCTTGTGTTGTTCTGTTACATCATATGGTATAAATATGAAAACAAGAACTATACAATGGCATTTTTCATCTCAGTATTAGAACACAAATTCCCATTCATCTGTTTTTGTTGCTGCTCTACATTTACATTTACATTTAGTCATTTTGCAGACGCTTTTATCCAAAGTGACTTACAATTGGGGAATACATAAAGCGTTTCATCTTAAAGAGGCAAACAGTCACAAGAAGTGCTCGCAATACCAAGTTTCAGTCATTGTTTAAATCAGTACAAGCTAGAAAGGGAAGGAATAAAGAGAAAGACAAAGTTTTTTTTTGTTTGTTTTTTTTTGATGTAGATTCGTAGTAGTGAGTGGAAGTAGGCGGGTGCTGAGTCTGAGGCTGTTCTATATGCAAGCATTAATGTCTTGAACTTGATACGAGCCGCAACCGGCAGCCAGTGCAAGGAGATAAAGAGAGGTGTAACGTGGGTCTTTGCAATGTGGTCTTTGAAGGTCAGCTGGTCATCGAAGATTACACCAAGATTTCTGACTGAAGTTGATGGGGTAATTGTAGAAGAACCTAGCTGGATGGTGAAATCATGCTGCAGAGTTGAAGTGGCAGGGAAGACAAGAAGCTCAGTTTTTGCTAGGTTGAACTGTAGGTGATGTTCTTTCATCTATGCCGAGATGTCCGCCAGGCAGCCTGAGATCTGTGCAGCTACCGTTGGATCATTGATCATCATCAGGAGATAGAGCTGTGTGTCATCAGCATAGCAATGGTAGGATAAGCCGCTTGGAGAAGGTGTGAAGGGACTGGGTCTAGAGGGCATGTTGTAGAATAGCTGGAGAGGAGAAGTTTTGATACTTCTGCCTCAGTGAGGGGACAGAAGGAGAATATGGGAGTTTTAGCAGTGGGTGTGGTTGGTTTGAGGTCCTGTGTGTGTGTGTGTGTGTGTGGGACTGAGAATTGACTACTGATTGTTATAGTTTTGTCTGTGAAGAATGTGGTGAAATGATCAGCTGTTATAGAAGTGGTGGAGGGGGACAGAGGAGAGAACTGAATGTTTTGAAGAGATTACGTGTGTCTGGAGCGCTGTTGATCTTGTTGTGGAAATATGAAGATTTGGCAGTATGGACTTCGGCAGAGAAAGATGAAAACAAAGACTGATACATACTCAGGTATGACGGATCTTTTGATTTGTGCCATTTTCTCTCTGTTGCCCTGAGTTTGGTCCGATGCTCACGAAGAACATCGGATAACCAGGGGTTAGAGGAGGAGAGAGGACAAATATCGTCTAGACAAGAGGTTAAAGTAGAGCATAAAGTGTCAGTTGCTGCATTCACATCCAGAAATGAGAAATGGGTTGGTGAGGGAAGAGAAGAGGATACTACAGAGGAAAGATGAGAGGGGGAAAGGGAGCGTAGGTTTCGTCTAAAAGTAACCGGTATAGGGGTTGGTGGCACACAGTTAACAAAATGCAGTTTAAATGTAATGAAGAAATGGTCAGAGATATGTAGGGGTTCTACCAAAATGTCTGCAACACAATTACATGTGTAAATTAAGTCAAGTTGGTTGCCTGATTTGTGCGTGCTTGTAGTGGTAAGTCGTTTGAGATCAAATGAAGCAAGGAGTGCATGGAAGGCTTGTCCAGATGAATGTTGAAATCTCTACACAGAAAACATGATTATCATATTTTCATATAAAAAAATAACATGGTTATTGGGTGTGTGCTATTGAAAATTATTACAAACTTGATTGTCATGAAATCTAAATTACATTTACAACAAACTGTAGCTGTTACTATGTCACCTGGATTCAGTCAGATTTACTGAAGAGGGAAAAGGGGGAAAAACAAAAACAATTTTGTGTCACTGCATGTTAAACTTGCATGAGGCCGGACTGATGTATTTTCAATTTGTACTCAATATGTGGGGCTTCATTATGTACATTTATACTGAAACGCAGAGGAGGAGCCTGAGAATCTGACAGATATATATAAAGGTGTTTTTCAGTCTTTCATCCACAAACACTCAAGGCACAACGCAAACGGTGAGTTACTGTTTTATTCTTCATTCACCTCACAGAACATTCAGACATCTATACAATTTGAAAAATAGACCTATGAAAATGTTTATATTACTTTTTTTTTAGATAAATCGAATCTGTGATTTACTGAGGAGAGATTGAGAAGATGGCAGTAAGTTCATCAATAACTCTACATTCAATAAGTCTACGTTTTCCCATTCATTTCTGTGTAAAGTTAATCTCTTTCTCTGTGTCTCATGTAGATGTTGGTATTTTTGGTGGCTTTTCTTCCGGCTGTACTGATGAGCGAATGCAGACATGATGAAGAAATGCTGGTCGACTGTTCTGAAATTTATAAATCAGGTCAAACGCTTGGTGGGATTTATACCATTTATCCAACATCAGACATTCCTGTCAGGGTTAACTGTCACATGATCTCATGTGGGAGTGATGAAGACAGTGGAGGATGGACGGTACGAATGTGACTCTAGATCATTAAACACACATCAGCACATTCATTATGAATCATATATTCTCTATAAACCCATCACAGGTGATTCAGAGGAGAATGGACGGCAGTGTGAATTTCTATCAGCCGTGGAAAGAGTACAAGAGAGGATTTGGAAATGTGGAGGGAGAATACTGGCTGGGTAAGATCTCACAGCGTTTGTGTGGATGTGTGGATGTTCATGTCCAGCAGGGCTGGACTGGGACAAAAAATCGGCCCAGGCATTTTTTGGTCCAGCTGTGATTTCAAAGCTGAATTTTTAGCATCATTACTCAAGTCACATGATCCTTCAGAAATCATTCAAATATTCTGATTTGCTGCAAAAAAACAAAAACTTATTATTTTTATTATGTTGAAAACAGCGGAGTAAAATGTTTCAGATGATGAATAGAAGAGCATTTATCTGAAATGGAAATCTTTTGTAACATTATGAATGTCTTTATCATCACTTTTGATCAATTTAAAGCATCTTTGCTAAATAAAAGCATTAATTTCTTTCCCAAAAAAACAAAAAAAATTCTACTAAAAATATTACTGTTCAAAAACTTTTGACTGGTAGTGTATGTATGTATGTATCACACTCATATCACATCTAGTTGTTTTGGATGAGAATAAAACGTCAGGTCCGACAATATCGTGTCTTTTTTAATTTAAATCTAGCTTTATTCGCATTGGCCCATGGAAACCTCTATGAACACACTTGACTTGACTTGGCCAAAAAAGCGCGAGGGACGAATTTACATTTTATTAAAGTGTTTACGTATTCTACACTCATGGCGCGCACACACATTGGGATCACCGGGAAAATGCCCGGTATGCCTGATTACCAATCCAGCCCTGATGTCCAGTGTTTGGTTGAACGTGTTCTTCATGTGTGTGTATGATCAGGGCTGGAGAACATCTACCAATTGACACGTAAGAGGAAGTACGTGCTGAGAGTAGATATGGAGGACTTTGAAGGAAATAAAGTTTTCGCTCTGTACTCGTCCTTCTCTGTGGATTGTGAAACGGATGGATATCAGCTGCATGTTTCAGGATTCACTGACGGAGGAGCTGGTAGGACACTTTGATTTATACTCATGAAAACACATTTCCTTTGAGTTATTGTCTTCAGCGATGCTCCTCTTCTTTGCAGGCGACTCTTTATCTACTCACAATGATCAGAAGTTCTCCACTTTTGACAAGGACCAAGATCCCTGGGCATATAACTGTGCCAAATATCATCTCGGGGGATTTTGGTACAACAGCTGTCACAATGCAAACCCCAACGGTCTCTATTTATGGACAGAAGCTTCCCCTCATAGCACCATTGGTGTTGTTTGGTTAACCTGGAAGGAAAACAGTATGAAATCCATCATCATGAAGATCAAACATGTGATTTAGACCTTTGCAGAGACATTACAAAATGTTTCAGAAGCAAACAACAAAACAAATCAAGTGGCTTTCCTTTCTTCTGTTGTGTTGCTAAATCTTTCTCAAAACTATAAGGTGGTTTTTAATCTGTTTTGAGTCACTTCTTTTAATTTACTAATGAAATTAATCAATTCATACATTTTT